GTTACGTTACGTTACGTTACGTTAGTTACGTTAGTTACGTTACGTTACGTTACGTTACGTTACGTTACGTTACGTACGTACGTACGTACGTACGTCTCTCTCTCTCTCTCTCTCTCTCTCTCTCTCTCTCTCTCTCTCTCTCTCTCTCTCTCTCTCTCTCACACACACACACACACACACACTTTGTTCTAGATAACCCTTTTACATTTTCCATGCCCTGTTTCTTCTATGTATTGACAATCAAATCTCTTCCGAATACTTCTCTGAAGTAAATGCATTCTAGGACGAGATATCATGGTTTCTTGTCTTTCTTTTCAACCATCTCATGGACAGTAATATTTGAAATCATTGTGCAATCTGAAATTGAATCAAACTCCTGATCCCTGATAGCATTTCATGCGTTTAATTGTAGGAAGCGAGGTCTATGTTCATGCCTTTCATTCTAGAGGATGAGATTGTTGGATATGTTCATCCTGGGTAAGATTGTTGATCTGAATTCATATACATTACTATATGAGGGGGTATTACATTCTTTTATTTTGATATTCATATATTATTTATCTATAACATATACTCATTTATGTTGGTTTATATATCCCAGTCACAATTTGTTCAGTTTTGAGCATTCTTTTCTTTACCCCAGGGCATTTGAATTCATGAAACATGCTAAATTTTATGTCCTCCAGAATGATGGGACTAAGTTTTTGTTGATCAGAGAAACAAATTACAAAGATTTAAAGTTGGGGTAACAAGTCACCATTGATTTCATGTGTAGCTTTAACTGAGGAATTATTAGTAAACAGGAATGTCCTTTAAAGTGATTTATCTCTAGTTTATTGCTCACGTGTCATTTACTTGATGTGCATATTGGTCTACGGCAGCTTTGTGGAGCATCTGAGAAAGTTTCCAAATGTGTTTACCCTAACAAAGGATCGCGGTTATGGTGACCATGGTGCTGATTTTCTCACTTTACATCCATCACTGGTATCACCAACAGATAGAACAGAAGCAGTAGGAGATGCAATAACATGCTTAGATGAGGGAATCATTCCAGGTATACGGAATGAGGTATTTCTTAGAGTTACCAAGTCCTGTATTTGTTTTCATCTGCTGAATATGTTTAGTTATGTACCAAACAATCATGTTAACTTCAAAGTTGTGGATGAGGATGGTGAAATACCCAGAACTGAAGTTCATAGGGGATAGTGTTAATTAGTTAAGTATGTTATCAATGAGTCAATCACTGCTTCCAATGTTTTTTTTTGTCAGCTCTACCCTGTGACTTCGTCATATGGAAAACCAGTGTTCTTCTCATTGGAACGTGCTGCGGCTCCTTACTTTGGTATCAAGGTTTGTTCATCGTAAAAGCCATAAGATGAAACTTTGCCCTGTAACTTCAATTCTACAAGATGGCTTTAGGAGCAACTTGTAATAGTAGAGGGGTTGGAAGTAGTTTTCTCAAAATTCATATATTTATGCAATTTTATTTTTAATGTGGCTGACATTTTCATGTACAAATGGAAGCTGATTTGCTTTTATGAGGCTGCAATATGCATAAATGGAGACTAGGTTTGGGAGGAAAGAAACAGATTCAAGCTATGTCCTCTTCAATGCATAAATGGAGACTAGGCGGTCAAGGCAGGCTCAAGGCGGTGCCTAGGCAGCCTGGGTGCCCACCTAGTGCCATCCCTTAAAAAAATAAAAATAAAAATAATAATTCAAATCCACCCCAACAAAAATAAGGCTTGGTATTGCCCTTCTCTCTCTCTCTCTCTCTCTCTCTCTCTC